ATAATTTACTTGACGCGCCTGGCGTAATTTTACGTTCTCTAGTCAGCAACCCTGTTATCGTTTCACTGCTCTGTGGAGGCGCTGTCAACATCGCTTCAAGGCGCCTCTCCGTGAGTGTAACGTTTTTAGTTTGTTACATGTCTTTGTATATGATATAATATGATGTCTGGCGTATCATCACCGGATTCCCTATCGTTCAGGCCGGATAATTTACTTGACGCGCCTGGCGTAATTTTTACGTTCTCTAGTCAGCAACCCTGTTATCGTTTCACTGCTCTGTGGAGGCGCTGTCAACATCGCTTCAAGGCGCCTCTCCGTGAGGGTAACGTTTTTAGTTCGTTACATGTCTTTGTATATGATATAATATGATGTCTGGCGTATCATCACAGGATTCCCTATCGTTCAGGCCGGATAATTTACTTGACGCGCTTGGCGTAATTTTTACGTTTTCTAGTCAGCAACCCTGTTATCGTTTCATTGTTCTGTGGAGGGGCTGTCAACATCGCTTCAAGGCGCCTCTCCGTGAGGGTAACGTTTTTAGTTCGTTACATGTCTTTGTATATGATATAATATGATGTCTGGCGTATCATCACCGGATTCCCTATCGTTCAGGCCGGATAATTTACTTGACGCGCCTGGCGTAATTTTTACGTTCTCTAGTCAGCAACCCTGTTATCGTTTCACTGCTCTGTGGAGGCGCTGTCAACATCGCTTCAAGGCGCCTCTCCGTGAGGGTAACGTTTTTAGTTCGTTACATGTCTTTGTATATGATATAATATGATGTCTGCCGTATCATCACCGGATTCCCTATCGTTCAGGCCGGATAATTTACTTGACGCGCCTGGCGTAATTTTTACGTTCTCTAGTCAGCAACCCTGTTATCGTTTCACTGCTCTGTGGAGGCGCTGTCAACATCGCTTCAAGGCGCCTCTCCGTGAGTGTAACGTTTTTAGTTTGTTACATGTCTTTGTATATGATATAATATGATGTCTGGCGTATCATCACAGGATTCCCTATCGTTCAGGCCGGATAATTTACTTGACGCGCCTGGCGTAATTTTTACGTTCTCTAGTCAGCAACCCTGTTATCGTTTCACTGCTCTGTGGAGGCGCTGTCAACATCGCTTCAAGGCGCCTCTCCGTGAGGGTAACGTTTTTAGTTCGTTACATGTCTTTGTATATGATATAATATGATGTCTGGCGTATCATCACAGGATTCCCTATCGTTCAGGCCGGATAATTTACTTGACGCGCTTGGCGTAATTTTTACGTTTTCTAGTCAGCAACCCTGTTATCGTTTTATTGTTCTGTGGAGGGGCTGTCAACATCGCTTCAAGGCGCCTCTCCGTGAGGGTAACGTTTTTAGTTCGTTACATGTCTTTGTATATGATATAATATGATGTCTGGCGTATCATCACCGGATTCCCTATCGTTCAGGCCGGATAATTTACTTGACGCGCCTGGCGTAATTTTTACGTTCTCTAGTCAGCAAACCCTGTTATCGTTTCACTGCTCTGTGGAGGCGCTGTCAACATCGCTTCAAGGCGCCTCTCCGTGAGGGTAACGTTTTTAGTTCGTTACATGTCTTTGTATATGATATAATATGATGTCTGGCGTATCATCACCGGATTCCCTATCGTTCAGGCCGGATAATTTACTTGACGCGCCTGGCGTAATTTTTACGTTCTCTAGTCAGCAACCCTGTTATCGTTTCACTGCTCTGTGGAGGCGCTGTCAACATCGCTTCAAGGCGCCTCTCCGTGAGGGTAACGTTTTTAGTTCGTTACATGCCTTTGTATATGATATAATATGATGTCTGGCGTATCATCACAGGATTCCCTATCGTTCAGGCCGGATAATTTACTTGACGCGCCTGGCGTAATTTTTACGTTCTCTAGTCAGCAACCCTGTTATCGTTTCACTGCTCTGTGGAGGCGCTGTCAACATCGCTTCAAGGCGCCTCTCCGTGAGGGTAACGTTTTTAGTTCGATACATGTCTTTGTATATGATATAATATGATGTCTGGCGTATCATCACCGGATTCCCTATCGTTCAGGCCGGATAATTTACTTGACGCGCCTGGCGTAATTTTTACGTTCTCTAGTCAGCAACCCTGTTATCGTTTCACTGCTCTGTGGAGGCGCTGTCAACATCGCTTCAAGGCGCCTCTCCGTGAGGGTAACGTTTTTAGTTCGTTACATGTCTTTGTATATGATATAATATGATGTCTGGCGTACCATCACCGGATTCCCTATCGTCCAGGCCGGATAATTTACTTGACCCGCCTGACGTAATTTTTACGTTCTCTAGTCAGCAAACCTGTTATCTTTTCACTGCTCTGTGGAGGCGCTGTCAACATCGCTTCAAGAGCGCCACTCATAGCTTCAATAAGTGAGTATTCCAAATTACCAACACTATTCCGAATTACCCTCATTTCCTCTAAGCATATGAATTTTATAAGAAAATATTTATAATACCATACAGTTTTATATCAAATACAAATTAAACATTTCATAAAAGTAAAGCTACATTTTGTATGTATAAAGATAATCATCTCGAGTACATGAGATATAAAAATATAGATTTAATTCTGTTTACGCTGGAGAAAATATTCGCTGCTTAAACTCAAAACCGATATTTTGTGATATCCGATACCAGGGGATGGAGTTTCATGCTGTACGGAAGCTGGGAAAATAAATAAATTTTATTTTAAACTCGCCTAGAGGCCTATAACTTGACCTTTCTGGAAATGTTTCGCCATATATTAAGAGTTCATTTCCCCACCTACGTATGATTTTATATTTATTTTGAGTTCGAAAAGGAAAACGTAAATAATTGAATTTTTTTTTATAACGTTGATATAACATAGAAAAAATATGTCTTGTAATAAAATTAATATAAAATATAATATTTCGTAAAAAATTCTATTTTTACGAAAACATTTCCAAAGCACCTTTTTACGTAGAAATTAAAGGCTAAGTATAATTTTTTTAAAATTAATAATTTAAGAATTATCAACAGAAAATTTGATTTTTTTATATGGGACACCCTGTATATTTTTAATTTATTGAAAATAATTTAATATTACCTTTCCAAAAATATAGCATACTTGATATTTTGCTCGAAAAAAGTTGAACTAACTAGAATTCAAAGGAGGTGTTTTAAAAAGGTTTAGCTAGAGAGTTACTTAAAAAACAGCATGAAGAAGAGATGTTTAAGGTACATAGTGCAAGAAATTAAACTAAAATTGTAACACAAAAGAAATAAAAGCAAATGTGAATTGAATAATAGGTTTTCTAAGGTTCCTGTTATAATATTAACGAATTAAGATATGCGAAATAAAAATGAAATAAATAGTTTGATTTTTATAAATTTTATTTATTTTTTACCTACTTTAGAGCTTGATTAAGTACGTAATGGTTTTTAATTGAAGGGATTTAAGTAAAGTAATTTATAAATTGCCGTTGAGTTATATTTTTACTCGGTAATTGTACATATTTCATCACTATTATCCTGACTTAATGCATTCTCTTTGTTCTGATGCTCTAACAGAGGCTCTTTTTATTTTGTAACACTCCTTATAAAGTCCGGTACTAGCAACAATAGTTTTTTGCACCATTTCAATGTGTTTATTGGTGTTTATACCTCATACGTTCTAAAATGGTTATAGATTACATACTCAGAATAGGTAAGTCTTTTCGAAATAATATTTATTTATCAATAATATTTATTCATCATAATCTAAAATCGAATTTATTAAAATAAACGAAATCTACAATAGTAACAATGTCTTGGGTTAGGTTAAGCAATTTTATTAAATAAAATCAAAATCTCCGCATGCGCCAAATTTTTATCCGACAAATAAAGCGCTATTTGGCAATTCAGGTCCCAAATAAAGGTTATTTTATCTAATAGATATTGCTATCTATAGGTGAAGATACACGTTTTTCTGCTATCCATCAAATTAAATAGATCTGGCGGATTATAACGCGCCATCTATACCTGAAAACACCGGGGGTTACCCGCCTATTTACGCGCGTCGTCGTAGGTTTAAATACAAAATTGACGGATTTCGTTTGGAAGGCCAAACATTTATTTGGCGTTCCTAAAGTAGTTTTAAATCTTCTTCCAATTATCTTCCAAGCAGTTTGTTTGCATTTTTTAGCAAATTATAATTATATATCAACTCTCTAAACGCTTTTAGAGCCCTCACAGATGCTTAGTTATTTATTACGGGCGGACTGTGCAAGCCAGTTTGTGCAGTTAGTATCCTTGCACTCATTTCAGTACATCTAAATGAAAATGGCCTCCGGGATACACTTCTGTCTTGGATTTTGCTCACCTGTGCAATAAAGAAAAAGCAGAAAAACTCCTCAACTTTTGAACTTATCAAAGAGTTTTTTCGCTTTGAAAATTTACAAAAAATTATTTTATTTAGCTTAAATTTTGAGAACCGATCGATGTTGCTTTAGATTTTCGTCCTTCTAAATTTAATCTACTACCTAAGTTGTCATATTGTCAATATGATGTTTAGGCGCGGTCTCTTCAGTTATAAATAAATAACTTTTATCTAACAAATAACCATCTAAAAGATAAACAATCTAGAGCCTGATATCTATAGGATATAACATTTCGGTATTTTCATACAAAATAATCCAATAGATAACAATTTGGAGGACGGCCGCCTACGGACCGGTAGACACTCCGTAGAGAAAGTGTTGCCAATATAAGATATCTGAAATTGAGATGGTTATATATGAAAAGTCGATACAACAGACAGAGACAGAAACTCGGAATTTCAAATCGTTAGATTAAAAAGTGAGGTTATTGTTCAGTTGTCAAAAGATCGTCAAAATGAAAATAAAAACAATAAAATTCAACTAAAATATATTTTGTGTTCAACTCCAACTAGTCCCTATTATGGTATAGGCTATTTAAATTTACCTTTATGGAAAAAGGAGAGATAATTCAATTTCAGCAGTGGTGGTGGTGCAATAGATCTATTGATGGAATGCGATTTATAAGAAATTAAAACAAGAAAAAATAATCTGTAAGTAATTTATAGTTTAATTACATGATATTACTGTTATATTTATTATATTAACATTTTAGTACAATTGATAATAGAAAATATGGAAGAAGCTGGTGAAGTGCAAGCAGAGATTTATAAACCAATCCTAAGACCACCATCTGGTAAATTATTAATATTGAAAATTGAAAATAGCATAAGACTCTTAGTAATAACAAATATGTTGTTCTAGGGCTTCTCATAGTAAACAAATAGGTAGGATAGCATCAATGATAGTAATTAAGGTGAGTTTTTATTTTATAAAATAGATAAATGCACTTATACTTTTGTCTTAATAATAATAAATGAAGAGTACCTATAATAATTGTTACATTTACACATTATATGTACAAATTATTTAATAAAAAAACTTAAATAAAAACAATTTTGTCATATTACTTTTATTTTTAAGAACTCAAAGTGATGGAACTTCAAAAAAAAAGAAAAAATAAAGGAAAAATCTTGTCTAAACAAAGTTGAATTAATTGGAATTCAAAGGACCACAATACAGGCGTTTTAGCAAGGTTTAGCTAGAGAGTTACTTAAAAAACAGCATGGAGAAGAGATGTACCGTATGATCGAAAAAAACGGCGTCAGCAATGGCTATGAAATAAAGATTGCTGTCATTTCATATGTAAATTTATATGGGAAATGATGATCGATGATATAAAGCACTATTTGGCAGCCAACTGGACGCCGTTTTTTTTTTCGATCATACGGTATAAGGTACATAGTGCAAGAAATTAAACTAAAATTGTAACACAAAAGAAATAAAAGCAAATGTGAGTTGAATAACTGGTTTTATAAGGTTCCTGTTATAATATTAATGAATTAAGATATGCGAATTAAAAATGAAATAAATAGTTTGATTTAAAAAGTTTTATTTATTTTTTACCTACTTTAGAGCTTTATTAAAAACTAGTTGAAGCCTGGCGCATCCGCCACGAGATCAGGAAAAAAAATACTTTTTATTTTTTTTTAATTAAATGAAAAACAAAAAATCCGGCGACGACAGTTTTTAGAAGAGCCATTTAGCTATCTTTTAGTAAAAAAAGCAACTTTCTAGAGCAAGTCGTTACTTCAGTAGAGACGACACAGATAAACATTAGCATTTTATATAATATATAGTAATGGTTTATAATTGAAAGGATTTAAATAAAATAATTTATAAATTACTGTTTGATCACTATTATCCTAACTTAATGCATTCTCTTCGTTCTGATGCTCTAACAGAACAGAAACTCTCTTTATTTTGTAACAGTCCTTATAAAGTCCGGCACTAGCAACAATAGTTTTTTGCACCATTTCAATGTGTTTATTGGTGTTTATACCCCATACGTTCTAAAGTGATTATAGCCTACATACAGAATAGGTAAGTCTTTTCCAAATAATCTAAAATCGAATTTATTGGAATAAACGAAATCTTCAATAATAACAATGTCTTGGTTATGTTAAGCAATTTTGTCAAATATCAAATAAAATCAATATCTCCTCATGCCTTTGCTCATGCGTCAAATTTTTATCCGACAAATAAAGCACTATTTGGCAGTTCGGGCGCCAGATAGGATATCTGGGAGATAAGTTTAATTTATCTAATAGATACTGTTATCTATAGGTGAAGATACGCGTTTTTCTGCTATCCGTCAAATAAAATATATCTGGCAGATTATAACACGCTATCCGTACCTGAAAACACCGGGGGTTAAGAACAAAAAATTTAAAGAATCCTTTTTATAAAAATACAAAATTTGCAATTTTCTTTTTTGCGAAAAAAACCCTCAGCTGCTGAAGTTGAAATATACAATCCCTAAGTTTATTTTCACATATTTAAAACTGAAACTGAATAATAACAAATAAAATAAATAATTAAAAAAAAAATCTAAAAAACTAACAAAGAATAATTATAAATTATGCAGTATATCTGTCGGCGTTGTTCAGTTTTTCTTTGAATGTAAACAACCTATGTAATTTCAGATGGCAACTGTATAAAAAATATTCTTTAACCAGTTCGTTTTGTATCAGATAAATAAATAAAATAAATAAATAATAAATAATGTTTATTCAAACTGATCCAATTACAAAGTATATACAAGACTTATACATAACTTACGAATACAAAATAGTGAATAAACATAATATCCTCTTAAGGTAGAATCTTGTCTGAGGAGTTTTATTTCTACAACAATAACTACAATATTTTATTCTAAATTCTTAAACTATATCTAAATGTTTCAAATTAATTTATTTCATTGTCCAACACTTAAGCACGCTAAAAAACAAGTTATTACACAGCGGTCAGATATTGACATAGGGTAGATTGCAAGTTTTAAGGCATATAAGATTACATTATTTTTTTTTTCAAATATGATATTATTGTGAATGGTTTTTAATATTTCACATTTTGCTGAGTACAAATGTATGCATTTCGGTTATTGTTCTACCAAGTATCCATTATTTTAATCTTTTTTTAAAAATATTAATGTTTTGACAATTAACTTATTATCTCCTATATCCAGTATTTTATAGGAATAATTTAACGAACATTTTATAAGTACTACTACTCCATCATTTTTATTTAGACTTCCTTCATTATATATAATGTTGTATCCCGGTATCCTATATAAATCAATATTCCAAATTTTAAAACTTTCACTAAGTACTATACAATCAAAATTCAAAATCTATTCCACGTAAAAGAACAAGAAGCTCATCAAAATTGTGATCTATGCTACGAATATTATTATGAAAAAGTTTAAATGATGATAATTCAAGGTCAAATTTACATATATTAATGTCATCCACCACATCTGCCTCAATCGACCTTGTTTCAAAGTCCCTAATATATGAATTCATTGTTATCTTATATGTTAAGCTTTTAAATATTTAACTTGCAATCTGACCCATATCGGAAACACCTAATTTTTCAAAAGAGAATAAAAGATAAAATATATATTTTTTTGTTTTACAATATACTCCAAATACCTTTAATAAAGAAACAAATAATCTATATTGGTTTATAAACGTCCATGTATTTACTATATATTTAAATATTAATAGTCTATTTATTTTTAGCCCAACACCAAATTAAATTTAAACATATAGTATATTTTAATTATTTAAAAGTCCCAAAAGTGCAGAGTCAAGTCGCGATATATGCTTATATCTCCAATTAGACTAAAATTACAAGGAAATTGTAGCCGCGCACAAACGAGCGCCATCAATGTATATAAATAATTCACTAACGTTTTGTTTAAAAAAAAATGTCTCTTTACACTTGACGACATCTTCATTTCTATACCGGCTTCGAGTAACTTCTTGTTGCTGGTCTTCCCTTATTAGTTGAAGGTAGGGATGCGGTTATAAGGCCAGCCGAACCCCTGCGAGTTTGCGTAGTCGATGTCCCGGATTAATGGTAAATTCAATAGTACTGGTCGGCTTAGCTTTTGGATCCGGATAGTGAGTTTCTTGCTTGTGACGCTCTATAGGTTGTACAGGTTGTTCGTTGACGGGTGTCCCCGGAGCACTTAGGGATGGTCTAGATGGAATATCGGTAAAGACTTCGCAATCAGATTCGTTACCTTTATTTCCTCTCTCCACCAATTGTTCGTAATTATAAGTTTCGCTGCCAATTACAAGAGTATCCCTTTTAATGTACGCCCTTAAACCCTTTTCCTTTGCCTCTTTTAAATTTTGTTTGAGTACCTTGTTCACCACTCTCTCTTTCTTGGAAAGATCGTGGTTAATAAAAATGTTCTTTCCCTTCAGCTTATAGGCGCTTCGAAGAATCAATGCCTTTTTTAAATATGAATTGAGTTCTATACGTAGCGGTTTCGTTGAGTCGTTTCCTAAGTAGTATAAATTGTTTATATCGCTTATATTTATATCTACTTCTAACAGATTTCTTAGTTGCTCGGTTACCCAAGTAGCTAATTCAAAGTCCTTTAGGTTTCTGTGGTCCCGTAGCCCAAATATTATCAAATTGCTCTTCCTAGCTAATTTTTCTAGTGCTTGTACCCTGTTTCTATATCGTTTAATTTACTTTGTATTACAGTAATACTCTCCTTTAGAACTTCCATTTGAATTGACAAATCCTCTCTCACCGTTTTAATGTCTTCTTTTAATTCTTTTTTGCTGTTCTGTATTAAAGATTTGATTTCTTGAAATTGTTTGAATATGAGCGTATCTACCATTCTTACGGTGTATATTATATATTATAATATCTGTTACTCAAATAAAGAATATTGCAATTGGCAACGACGTCCGCTGTACTTGTCCAAAACTAGGTCAAATAATTATTGTAATCGATTTATGTGATGGTTCAAAGTCCAAAGTTATTGACCATGGCGGGGCGTTTTCTAACAAATTTGCCTTTTTAAAGATGATTAGCCGTTCTAATTATAGCACTTCTTTAATTAAAGACTAAAGACTTACTTTGTCAACTACTTGTAACTTGTAACACTGTATTTAATTTATTCTATCTAGGAACCACAAAAAACTCAACTCAACAAGATAGACCAGCTTTTCATTTGTACGTTCCTGATTTTAGCCTGAAGCGCTAAGTTTGTATCACCCTGTTGCGACGGTGCATTAGCAGGACGTGCAGTATGCAGCAAGCAGCGGCGGTCGACGTCGTCATTACATAACGTACTAGACGCGAATTTTTTGGCTTATCAGTGAGTCAAATACACCGTTGCCAGTACCTTCCAAATTACGGATATTTAATACATATTACCTTATCCAAACTATTTAATTTTATATATCGAATAAAATATTAGTGTTGATTAATTTTGTATTACAATAATTATATAAAATTAATAATAAATATTTTTTTATGATTTTTGTGACAATTTTAACATTATGTATGATTACATAAAAAATTGCTGTTTCTTTGGAGAGACGCACAGCTTATTCAAAGAACGCTTTTTTATTATTATTGATATTTTGGGAAAAATGTATTCTTCATTCCTATATGAAGAATGCATAGATCAGAAATTATGTATGTATCATATTTTTCGATAATTATCATCACCCTTTTTAGCATTTTAAAACAACAAAGAGATTACGTTAATTAAAATTCTATGAATAACAATCTATCAAAGAATAAAAACGGATTTATACAGGGTGTTTCAAAACAAATGCGAAAAACTTCAGGTGGTGATTCCTTGTTCAAAATAAAGGGTAGTTTGCTTCATAAACGTTGGGTCAAAAGTCAACCATTAGGGAGATA